CAAAAGTTGTACTACTTTTCTGCTTAGAATTTCCAAGTAGGCTTCTAATCTAAGTATATACTTTTCAGATTTATTTATATAACATTGTATACTTCCAAGGTTAGTCTTAGTATAACCAAAATTACAGGATCTACAAACCTCAGATTATAAATAAATTTGCCAGAATAGGACTGCTGATGAAATTTGAATATTAAATTTACTACTTAGAAGATGTTAACCCAACTATTATACTAAGATCATCATTCTCATTATAACTATTTGTTAAGCCTATCTATATTACTAAATAATAAATTAGTTTTAAATTTAATTCTATTGTTGTATCTAAAAAACTATAAATTTAAAAATTTTTTTTAAATATTTGTTTATTAGAGAGCATAGTAATATAATGAAATAATTATATTGTTATCTTCCAAGTAGCAAGTCTAAAGTTCAAAGTTCAGTATTGATAAAATTTTAAAAATTTTTTTTGTAATATAATTAACTGTCTTTTGCTATTAGTTAGAATTAAAAAATAAAAGTTCTTATCTTTAATCAAATACCTATTATCTGTATTGCATCAGTATAACTAAAAGGACATATAGCATTTATACAATAATTATAACTTATATAAAAAAACACAAACTGATACTAGATGGTATGAACTTATAATAAGTTTTTATAACTATACAAATTATAAAAACTAAGAAAACAGAAGCCTATTTGAAAAACCTAAATAGTAAAATAACTTTATCTTTTAATAATGCTATTGTAAAAACTAAATTTAGAAAACAGTACTAAAACTTGTAAAGCTAAGTAATATATTGGTTTTTAAGAAGAAACTATTGTAATTAATCAGACTGTTAAAACCTTTTGAAAAAAAAATTACATACTGACAAACATGTAAACCAGAGTTATGATTATATTTATCTTTTTGAATTATCTGAACTAAAAGCTTAGTAAAACTTAAATTAAATATTAAAATAATAAAAATATATTGTAAAATAAGTATCAAAGTTAAAATAAACTCTACAAGAGCATAACAGTTTAATGATAAGTCTTGACTACAAGTGTTGGTCTTAGCTATAACATTATCAAGTTAACTATAAGAATAAAATACAAAAAATTCTAAAGATTTAATATAATGTCAAAGGTTCTTCATATGAGTAAATTGCTTTAAAGACTTAATAGCTATAATATATTTTAATCAATATTAACTAAAGTCATTAGTAGATGTAAATAAATAGATGAATATAGAAACTAAAATATTTAAATAAAGAACTTATAAATAGATTTCAGATATAGCAGCTAGTATAGAATCTTTGAATGAATTACTTAAAATAGATAATAACTAAAGTTATATAAATAGCTAGTTGTATATTCTTTTTATGATTGTCTTTTGTAGTTGTAATACAACTATTAGATAAATATATTATTAATAAAATTCTAAATCATAAATACTTATTTTAATATTTTAAAAAAATATATATTTGTTTATTATTTTATTTATTATTTTTCTTTAAATAAAAAATCTTTTACATAATATTTATTAGTTATAAAATTTATTACAACTTAATAGTTTTAATAAATTTTATTATAATATTTAATTTTAATTGTTTATTATATTAGTTTAATTTATTAATATATATTTTTTAACTTTTATTTAAAAAAAAAAACTTTGATAATATTGCTAGTTAGTTTATTAAGTTCTAAATTTAATATAGTATAATTTTAAAGTTATATTTGCAAAATAATTATTAGTATTATATTAGCTATTTTAATTTTATTCTACTAACTTTATCTAGTTATCTATATAACATTTAAGTTTATATTTGCTGCATTTTTATATACAGTTATCTTGGCAACTACTTGTAGTCAAAATATATTATTAAACTGCTAAACATACAAAGATATTTCTAAAACTTAATATAATATTCTAAATATCAAAAATATTGTTTTTTGTAATTATATTTATATGTTTTATTTATATATATTACTTAATTTTGTTTCTTTTAACTTCTAATATAACTATATTTAGTAATATCTTGTTTTCTATATTTCTTATTTTTTTATTACTGTATTTTTTTCAAGTTGATCTTACTTGGATATATTTGATTCTTATAATCTTTTATTTTTGATATGCCTATTATTAATTCTTCTAAGATGTTTCAACAATAATTCAAAATCTATAAAGAATCTGTATTTCAAACAAAACCTGTTATTGTTATTAGTTTTTTATACAGATTGAACAAATAAATAAAAAGTGAATAATAAATAAATAACAAAAAAAAATTTGCTATTATTCTACTTTATATCTGCCAAATAATGATAGTATAATAGCAACATAACAGCAAAATAATAGTAAAATAAAATAACAGAAAGTTTATTAATATAAGTAATATAATAATAAAATAATAGCAAAATAATAGAACAGTTCTATTATTTACTTTTAGTACAAAGACTAAAAATAAAATAATAGAACTGTTCTATTATTTTGCTATTATCTTACTATTATACTACTTATATTGATAAACTTCTTATTATTTTACTATTATTTTATTGTTATATTGCTGTTATGCTGCTATTATTTAGTAGATATAGAATAGAATAATAGAGATTTTTTTTTGTTATTTACTTATTATTCACTCTTTATTTATTCATTTAATCTGTGTTAACTAAATTGTATTTTAAGCTAAGTTTGTTGCTACTATTTTTGCAAATACTCCAAGTTTTAGTATTATACATTAACTTAGTACTGTATTTAATTTTTAATAAAATACTTTTTTTTATAATAGAAATTAGAACTTGTTATATTTACAAAGAACAATTCTAATTATATTTAAAAATTTCTTTGACCTTAGTTATATATATTATATTATTATATATTATAAGCCTCTAACTTATTTAATAATATCTGTAGAACAATTTTTATTATATTTAGAAAGTTATATTAAACTAATAATATTATACTACTTTGCAAATTTTATCTTATATTGGTTGGTTAATTACAATCTTATTTATTATAAACTTCTATCAGAACCTGATTTGATATTTTTTTTTTTATATATAAAAGTTATATACTAACTTTTAAGTTTTTTCTTTTATAATCAAATTATTCGATTATGTCAGAGATACTTTTAATTTTAATTAGACCAATCTTTTACTACAAACTATTTTTATGTTTATTATTTTATTTACTATTTTAGTCTTGATTATTTTTAGATTACTTTTTTTAATTAAAATTTATTTATATAATTTGTTAATTATCTTTTTAAGTAAGTATCTTACAAATTAGATGCAAAAATGTTGATACTGCTTATATTATAAGATGAAAAGATATTAGTGCTATGTTAACTTTAAAAACTTATATACATAATTTTTTTATAACTGTAACCTTTTGTAATATTACTATTATATATAATGTCTGTACTACATAATTAGATCTCTTTAAAAATTTTTTTATTTCAAATTTGTATTTGTATTTGAACTTTTTTATAAAGTTTTGCATTTGATTATAATTTTAATAAGTTACAAAAACAAAATTGCCTTTAGCCTGACTAAAATTATTGATCTTGTTTGTAAAGAGTTTAAAAACTTATTCACTAAGCTATAGGACCAAAAACTTATTTTTTTTAACTTTATATTAATTTTTTTTAAATTCTTAAATATATTTTTTTATAATATTTCATTATAATATTTTAGTAATTTAGTATTAGTTCTAATTAATTTATTAATAATCATTTTAAAAATATTATATTTTACTAATACTTATTATTAAGCATATTTTACAAATAATTAATTTATAAATAAGTTTATTTTAAAAACAATATATTTTATTAATAATTTATTTTACAAAATAATTTTAACTATTGTTGTTAAAATTATGTTTAAAATTAAAATTAATACATTTATAAAAAAAACTTGTTTATACAATGAACTATCAGTAAAATATTTTACAAAAAAAACTGGTCTATAATTAATTATCTGCCAAATAAATTTATTAGTAAAATAATTGTTAAAAATATAGTAAATATCATAATTACATTATACATATATATTATATAAAACATACTATTATATTTTACTATCAAAATGAAACTGCCTAACTTGCAATTTCTAAACTCAAATACTTTGAAACTAAAAATTTAAAAAATAAATTACAAAAAAACTATAAATTATCTTATAAAACATTATATAACTATAATTTTGAAATTTAGTATAAAAAACAAGATATAAAAATAAAAAAAAAGATTAATTTCAATATATTTAGACAGACTAGTATTAAAATTATTATACAAGATAATGCATATATCTCAAAAAAATGCTTAGTGTAGTAGCATACAAAATATAAGGATAAAAAAATGTATAATATAAAAATTGTAATTTAATTATAGATAAAAATGTAAATAGAGTGCGAAAAAGATTTCTTTATGCGTTGTTTGATGAAGCCATCTCTACAGCAGAATTATTTTACAAGTTTAATGATGATTTTTTCTTTGGCAGCATCTATATAATCGATAAATATATACCAATGCTACATTTATTGTTATCATTATGCAGTATTTATGTCATATGTACTGCATATATATATACTTTTTTCATAACATTTATATAATGAATGGCTTTATATGCAGGGAACTTGAATACGTAAACTGTTTCACATTGTAAACATTATTCATACATATATACAAAATTGATTTTTATAATTAAATTGTTTTTTATAAATCAAAAATACCTAGTTTTTTGTGGCTTTGAAACTTTTTAAGCAAAGCCATATAATTTTTAAACAAGTGTCAGTTTCAATCAATTCATAAATTACGACAATATCGATATCACGATGATCAGAATTTTGCTCACGTGAACAAATGATCATCAAAAATCATAGCAATAAATTTTTGTATTAATGTGTGTAATATTATTCTATATTATAAAAAAGTTTTCATATCTATCCTTATAAAAAAATTAGTTATTAATAAAAATTACGATTATTAAAAAACATTATAAATTATATAAGCTACACGCAGTTATAAAAGAACAACGGCGACCAACACCACTAAGAACAATATGCCGAGGGAATTTTTTTTTGGTCCACTTGCTTCAGATAATTTCGTTGGACTGGTTGGACTAGGAATCACAGTTGTGGCACTACCAGATATTATTACCTCCCCGCAGACACCATATTTGGGATCACAACCCTCACCGCAAACTGATAAAAAAAAGTTTTTTTTAAAAAAAATCTTATATTTATAATTATTTAAATAGTACTTACATAAATCTGTTTTACCACAAAAGCCATCCCTGTAATTAATACAACGATTAATAAGAATTTTAATTTTATTAATAAGCAAGTTTAAAATTGAGAAAAACTTACTTGCTACAACATAATCCGGTAAGACATGATGAATTACCAGCATAAGGACCACAGGACACGGATTGTACATATGTGGTTAAGAAAGCAAAATAGAAGAGCACCAAAAACGATAATAATACAATCGATGATATATTTCGTTTATACATTTTTTTTTTTTTTATTATTGGGCTATAATGTTTTTTTTTTCTATTGCTTTTTTATTTTTTCTATTATATAAATTTTCAAATTTTTTAGATATATATATTTTTTTGCTTTCTTTGTCGAAAATATATACATACGTGTGCTTGATGTCGGGTTTCGAATGGCTTGGGTATTTATACTAAATGATATTCATGATATTCATCATAATTCATTAATCCCGTAATTAATCTCGTATTAGATCACCGACTATGAAAGTGGTGTACGTACGCACATAATCAGTAAAGTCCAATTAACATCCACATGCTGAATTGAAACTTGTTTATTTATCCTATACATTATTAGTCAGCCGATCGTTTATCCGACAAGAACTACACGTATTCTATTTTTAGAAGAATACTGAGAGTCATTAATACATCATAAATCTGTCAAAATAGGATAAAGGGTAATTTCAGTCTTTTCCATTAATAGTGTTTCATGAAATTTTGTAACGTAACTCACTTTCTTGGCTCTATAATTTATTTTATGATCGTCATCCAGACTATTCCACATGTAAATCTAATTCTCTATATTTTACACAGATCTAATATTTTGATTGTACCACAGACTTTTTGCTACTCCTGCTATTCCCATATGTTTATTTTTATTTTCGACGATTAATTTTTTGAATTCTTTCTTGAACCTGCAAGGTCATGAGTTTTCTCTGAAACATGTTTGTAAACTACAGCTGTAGCGACAGCGATAGGTAATTGTAATCTACCTGTTTTAATTTGTGTTTGTTATACCATGCGGATATAAGCGATTAATGTTCTTCTCACCTGATTCATTGGTTTGACGTAAAGTTTGACATCTTTTTTCTGTCACATGTTAAACAAATAAATTACTTACCAATTACTTATATCATTAACTTGCACACAAATATCGAAATTTCTTTTTTGTGTAATAATTTTTTAATGGATCAGGTGATTTTTGAGGCGTTACAAACGTTACAAATTCTGAGATAATCGACTGTCAAGTCGTACCATTCAATTATAATTCGTATTATACGTATACTGTAGTTATTATGTACGGTCGCTATTACATATTTAATCATTATTTTTATATATTAAAAGAAAAAGCTCAGCGGTTGATCATGATTAATCACAATAGATTGTTATTTTTGATCATTACATAATTGATAATTGCGTTTTAAGTTTCCGGAAATGTGCAAAAAAATAGAATCATTGTTCACAACGAGCTGTTAGACTACCGATCACCCTATTTGCATGGGTTACTCTGAAAAGTGGTCGGGTGATTATTCATCTGTAATGTAATTACGTAATAAGTATCGGTATGTGAACCTAATTAACCATCATGAGACTAAATTATCGCTACGTACATATACCAATATTGACTTCACGTATTGTGTCAATTTTACACAATTAAGCTTTGTTTAGACGAATTTAAAATTAATCTTATATTCATTAAATAGTAATATGTACCATGTATATGTTGGGTTTACTAATTTCCCCCACAGTTCCTATTGGATGAGAAAAAATCCCACTTTTCGATCAAATAATGAAAATGTCATTGAACAGTATAAAGGTCTAATAGAACAAATATTATACTAAAATTTGCAAGGAATTTTTTTTTGTTAGAACACAAAAGGTGGTTTTGTAACTAAAAATTTTAAGCTACCGACGATTTTTGTTTTTTTTTGAAAATTTTATGTTACACCTGATCTTATAATTTGATTGGTAGATGAAAGGTGGCGTAGTCGACATTGTCCAATTAGAGATGACATTTACAACTGTCCAATTAGAGATGACATTTACAACTGTCCAATTATAACTGTAGGGAGAAATTAGGGATCCCGTATATGTTGTGAGAACGAAATTTAAGTAATTTGAAATTTTATAAGGTTAGGTATAGAATAAAAAATTTATAATTTGGTGCCCTATGCACTGTGATGCACCCATGTCACGTGCTTTGAATGTTTTTTCGTATCGCATATGCTTCGCATAATTAGGTGAAAAAAGGCATAAAATCACATGGCAAGAATGTGATTGGTAGATATGATATAAATGATAAATTAATTAATTGCCTTATTCGGAGGAACGTAAAGCCAGGTACCAGTTAGAATTACTTTTTTGATTCAGTTATTGTTAGTGGGTTATATAGATATCAAGAATACAATGTATGTAGCAGGTAGATGTAATTTTTTAACATTATGCTTTTTCTCTGTATAACTCTACAATATGATCGAACCCATTTGCTATATTATGCTTTGTTGATTATTGCGATATTCTATAGAGTTAAATTAGTATTTTACGCCTTGCATAATAATTAGGGAGTTTAATAAGTAGTATAAAAGAAGGGTTTTAATACACTAATAAAAAAAAAAAGATTATTTTTAGTATTAGTTACATTTGAAGTATTTTTCTTGTAATTGTGTATTGAAGTAAATCATAAGTCTTGTAATTAATGCTTGCGGCACTAAGTTAAATCTGGTTTGAAGATATAAAGCTCTCTTTGATCATAACAATGTACTTGGCTTTAACAGACCCTCTTATTTAGTAGTTCATTATATCAATATACATAAAATGTAAAATAATGAAATGACAAACAAAGCTAAAAAAAAAAAAATAATTTGAGTTGTAACATTTTTTATAAAGCAAATGAAACATTTAGTTTTTTTTTGCTGTTTGTTAAAAAGCTTGATAAAATAAAAAAAAAAACACCTAATTGAAACATCAAATATCATGATTATAACTACAGAATGACTTATCAGAAATCCTTTATATAAAATTGATTTTTATGTAAATGGTGAAAAATTTTTCTGTCAGTTTTGCCAAAACACTGTTGATCATGAAAAAAAATCTATGATAGACAACTATTTGGCATTCTCTAACTATCAATCAAAAAAAAATCAGCACTTAAAAACCCTTAAAAAACTCTTTCTCAGTTTGCAATTACTTTTTTTAGCAAATTTTATGATAAAAGAGAGCAATTTGTTCTTGAATTGGTTAAAATATTCACTGAAGTTGACATATCTTTTGAAAAAATACAACATTTTTGACCTTTCTTACAAGAACATTGTAAATATAGTAGTGCAGTTCCTGGTGTTAATCAAATTCATAAAAAGTATCTTCTGATTTTATTTCAACAACAAGAACAAAAACTTAAAAATTTGTTAGGTGGAAAAAAAATTTGTATCACAATAGATGAGATGATAGATTTTTGTAATAAAACAGTAGTAAATGTTCTATTTAATTATTATGATCAAACTAATTTGGTTAAGATAGATTTTTTATAAGTTGTTAACAAGACCACGATTTCTTAGCTTATTATTTTAACATTATCATATTATAAAATTTCTTTTGAAAATATAATATTATTTATTACTAATAGTGTTTCATATATGTTAGTTGCATTTAACATTCTCTCATCTTTAATGTCACAAATCAAACATAATACCTATTTTGCTTACATATTCAATTTGATATAAGAAACATGAATTGAATACAAAAATTTTAAACTTCTTGATTCTACAATTAGTTTAATTAAAATGACCTTTATATATTCCCTAGCTAGGAAATGATGATGGATCTCATTTCTTTCTTCAAATAAGTATTCTGACCCTATACTCTTGTTATTATCTATAAAAACAAGATGAAACACATGGTTTAAGTTTGTATTTTGAATTTATAATCATTTTACACATTTAATTAACTTTTATTTTAAAAAAATCTGAAATTGGTAATAAGAACATAGTAGTTTTAGAATTGGTTAAAGTTTTTGAAAATCATGATAATTTGTTTTATTTGTGATTTATTCTTTATTTTGTAATCTTTAATATGCAATTGTAAGTAAAACATGTACTTATATAAATATTAGTATTTATTATTTTATTTACTCTATTTATTTAATATATAGGTTAGTCAAAAATCTTGAGTTTTTTAAAATTCAGAATAAACCAATTGCACCATTCCTTGCAGACAGGTTAGAACAAGTATATGCTTTTTTAAATTCAGACTGCCAATTACCTCCTAAATCAAATAAAATGATTGATCTCTGTGAAACATATCAGTATGATATATTATTGTATAATGAAATCTTTAAGGAAGCATTTCAATTAGCTTATGAAAAATTTAATAAGCATATTGGTAATCATTCCACATTTCTAATTTTTAAAGGAATCTGTTGCTTTGATCTCCAATATATACAAGCACAAACAGATTGACATAATATTGCATTATATAAGACAATTGAAGAGTTGAAAAATCCATCAAATAATCTTATTAATGAATGGGCAATTTATACAGGGTTATTAGAAACATTTAGTGAAAGTTTTGATTTGAATAATTACTGACATGAGAAGATGACTTTGTTACCAATTCTTAGTAAAATCGCGTTAGTATATATTTGGTTACCAGTTTCTGGTGTAGATGTAGAACGTAACTTTTCAGCTTATAAACGAATTTTAACGGATAATAGGCATGCATTATCGGAAAATTCAATTAGAATGTTAAATTTTTTGAATTTTAATATGTAAATAAATGCTATTATAAAGGATTTAAAAATCGCATAATCAATTTATTTATTCGTATAATTTTAAATTTATTTCGCATTCAACGCATAATTGACCACAGTCAAATCGCATAATTCACCCCATCGCATCGCATAATCCTGGACACCCTATTCCACGTGCTTCCGGGATCACGTTTCACGGCTCACACAATGCATAGCCTGTCACACATACCGGTCTTGCGATTATCATGTGATCGTCGATCACTGGGTTAAAGTGCCCACCAATTATATTTCTAACCTATAGGCTGACGAGTATATAAACCAAATATTTCTCAATGTACTTAGAAGCGTTAAATCTACCTTGTTTACATATTGACAAAAAATATTATTGTTTTGACGCGATACACTTGACCCTAGAAGGTTTACAGATTTTTGTGCACAAGAGGTTCGAAAATAATGTAACCATATTTTGGGTATCATTTTTAAAGATAATTTTTAT